CACACGGTTTTGGACGAACTATGCGAGGTTGCCAATCCTCGATGGCATTTAAACCTTAACGGAACACAAGCTGCAAAGGCCTTCGGAATTTCCACCGATTCAAAGTCTCCGGTGCGTTTATCCCTGGCAGATCAACTTGCCCTAGCATACCCTTCGAACGAACAACGCGAGGCTTATTACGTCTGGGCCGAACGCAAGCTGTCCGCTTTGGCCTTGGATCAAGCTGGGTCCTGTCCTGCTGTTGTACGCTCTGTCCACGTCAGCTGGGAGGATCGTCTGGTCACCGGACGATTCACAGATTTGCTTAATCCCTTGATTCAAAACGTTCCTATTGTGTATAATACCGTGGTAACGGCGGTCGATTGGCATGTATTTACAGATTCGGGTGCCGGCGTACGTATTACCACACGTCCGTCGTTCGAAACCGATATCAAGCCGATGGGCGAAGTAATCTACGAAGCCAAATATTGTATTGTCACCGTTCCCGTGGGTGTACTGAAAGGTGCGTACTTTCGAATTCAAAGGGTTTTATTGACTAAGTTCTGATGATCAAACACACGCTCCTGTTAATTAGAGGAAGTAGTACAGTTTACTGCATTTGAAGATGGACAAAGACAAAATAATTACCATCTCTAACTGTGTGAACGGCGTGCATGGCTTATCACTTTAACCTAACGTTGGTAATAAAAGTGTTTGGTGAGTGATGTTTGCTATCATTCTAGTCCCATGATTCTGTATTATCTGACTACATATTCATGATCACATAAAGTGCAGTATGCACGTGTGCGGAGCAGAGATATGACCCAGAATGCCTTGTGCAAAACTCTTTTTAGCTTTTCTATAAAAATATTCTTACTGAATATTCCCATCATGAAGTTGTGAAACGACAGTTCCCACAAATATTGTTTTCGATGACTTTTTCCTCAGACCAATAGGGGAATTCGTCTTGTATAGAGCAATTAAATCGTGAACTGAAAAGCTAGGAAGCACTGGACAGCTGTTTCAACCTGGTTGGGTCTCAGCAGCAGTTGGAATCCGTCGACCCAACTGTGGGTCGAACCCTGGACCTCACACACAGAACGCAAGCAATACTATCCACTCAGTCACCAGGCCGGTTATGAGACCGTTTTTCATTTTCCTTATACACGATGAAGCACAACCCATCTTTGTGAACTTGTTATGAGCATCGCGCCTCGCTCGTCTCAGCACTAGCCTCCGGGGTTATAACTCGGTTTTCCAGACTGAATCGTTCGATAAGTCAAAAAGTGTTTGTTTTACACTTCCTGAGGCAAGCAGTCATCAAGGTAAATTCTCCTTGCGCGATATTCAAGGGTTTGAATTAGGTTTTTCTTAAGCTTCAGAGCCTCAAGACTGGTGAGAGGAGAATGACGCTCGGACCATGTTGGTTTACGGCAAACAGCATTTTACCATGCTTCCGTTGTGAGTTTTATATCTAGCACGTGTAAAGCATTTCCCAATTTCAATTCGAACGTTAAACTTTTTTCATTACACTCCTTTTTAGTGAGATGAATAGCAGACGGGGTAAACCCCATAGCCACGAGGAGCTGCTGTTCAGTGATGGAAACCAGTAACCTGAGCCCCGGAACTTGGGTTGGTGAACCACACAAGGCCCCGATAGGTTAGGCGTGGTATTGAACCAGTCGACAAACTGATGGTGGTATGATCACCCACCATCAATGGTATTCACCCTCATATATTAATGTGTTCGATTATTGATCACGGTAATCTCTTCCGCATACTAATAATAGAATAGTAAGCTTCTTATATCGTGCAAATCATTATTTCCCACTTGACAATAAATGCATTAGCTAACAGAGATCCAATAAATGATCCCATAGCATCTCCATCAGTTTGGCGGTTGATCCCCTCGTCATAGCTGAACTTGATGTCACACGGGTGCTACTATTGCTCTTCCAAATTAGCCACTCGGACATCAAGGTTTATCATATTTTCTCTGAGATATTATCTTAAGTATATAACAGTTTCTAAAAGTGGTGCGTTTGTAGACTGCATCGATTTTCGTCTCCTTGATTAGTTTCAGTTTTCATAATCATTAACCATGCATCTTCGGGAGCCGGTTTTGGTTGCTGTCTTTAGTTGCCCATTTGAATAAAGCAGTAGGAGAAACACAGCAAAGTCGAAAGTAAAGTCAAACAGAAAATGGAGAAGTTCAGTGGACAGATCGCAAAGAAATTGAGAAGATGCACGAACGCCACTGTTTACGACACTCAGTGTCTCTAACAATTGAATGGAATGATCCCAAGGTCCCCATTCTGGGAGCCTAACGCGACCTGTATGACCGAGTCTTCTGGTTAGGGTTTTCGCATCCTCGTACCGGGTCTTATTTTGACCACCCTCTCCTTATCCACCCACTAACTGACTTAGCAAACATCGCGCGCCGTGGCAATCTACTTTGTGACATTCGTAACTCATGCCCCAACCAACCTAATCTATGGAGATCAACCACTGGCTTCGGTCGGTGACTGCGGTCACACAAAGCTCTGTGTCTAACCTCAGTATTGCTTGTCCGCTGGCCCCGCTAGATTCGTGATGCGCTGCGTAGACGGCAGTGCTCAAACGCTGACAGTCTATCTTTATCTTATTTTCTTGATGGCCAAGTTTCTGCGCTGTATAGCAAAACTGCCTTAATTAGGTTAATAAATTCCACCGATCTTTGGGACTTCAGTGTTCAGTACCTCTCCGGATTTGATCCAATAAATTCACAGACCGGCGAATAACCTGCTAGTAGAGAATGAATTCATGCATAACATTCACTCCCTTTAATGGGATATCTGGCTTTTGTACTTGCGGTAAACTGTTGAGTCCAATGTTAGAGGTACTCGTTAGTCGTGGTTGATCAAATGTTGCCTCGGGAACAAAATTATGATCCCTAAGAATTTTCAGAGATTCTGTTTGTTGTTCTGTCACCTTCGTCTAACCCTCTTCCCTTTTAACCGTTCTTCATTTTGAGCGGCGACTGAAAGTCCGGTTATCAAAGACGCGCTTTATTCATTACAGTGTTCTTGCAATAAATCTCATTACGATGTTACTAGGGTTGCGGTTTGCTTAATTGCCTATACTTGCAAATCACAGCAGGAAGAAACGGTATTTAATAGACCGCATGATGAAAAATCATCGGTTTTGGTTGTGGAATCTTTAAGTAGTCTCATTTCGAGCTTGGTCTCGACCCGTTTAAGCACCTCTGGTTTACTAGCCGGACCGTTATACTGAAATGTCAGGCTTCGTAGTCCCATGGCTGAATCCACGGCAGCCTTAAATACAGTGGGAAAATATTAGCACGTGTTTGTAAAACACTAGTTACCACTGTGCAAAAAAGTCACAATGAGATTTTGTAGCAAAAGGGATGAGCTGTAATCTTACGACTTAAGGAAATTAGTGTTAGCGGTGCACTGTCTCTATATTTCGGTCGCACCCTAGTCGAACATGTGAATAATATTTTTGTATTAACTAAGTTGTCCAATATTTTCACACTTTTTGATTGACTGATGCTTTGACAACCACTCTATGGCAATTCACCATTCCGCTGTTCTCACTGTCAAAAGTTGTTTTTGGCATACATTGTGATTTAGCAGTAGGCATGCTCTTGTCGTTCAAACGCGTACTCTGTTGTTTTGGCTTGCAGTTGCACTGTTAGTAAAAATGAAAGTAAAAGAACCACACCCCAGAAGATTAATTCCTACAAGTCTGTCTACCTGTCTAGAGCTGTTTTCAGTTTTAAAAGTACAACGAGATGCTGTTAAACTACGTAATCTTCATGAGTGATATTGTGTTGACCTTCATTCACATTCGTGAATTTTCGTGGATTTTAGTTGACCCCCCTCCCACTTTGGAAGAAGCAAGCAGTCGATACCTAGAAATAATTTCGATTCCAAACGAATGCGAAAAAGTAACGGGCTATTTGTCAAACTGTCGTTGTGCAGTAAGCTAAGAGATCTGTTGTTTGCACAAACCATGACCTACGATTTCCAAGTGGATAAAACAATACAAAGAAGTCGGTACATGTCACCGTCACTCTGGTCGTGATCTCCTTTCTTTGACCGGTGGGGTGCTACCACGGGAATTCTTTCGATATCTGCGGATAAGTCGCTCTTTAACCTCGTCCTTTAAACAGTGATTTTTTCCAGTTTGAAATGTAAACTAAAGTTAGTGTTGAACAAGTGGAACCTGAACCCAAGACAGCCGGTGAAGATTCTTCTGAGGGCCGACTGATATCAAGTGGCACGCCTTGAGTAGACGATACCCTCGATGTCATTCGGTCGATATACCATGGTAATGTCATGTGGCGCAATGAATCGATGGAAGAATGACTGTTTGAGGATGGAAGAAACATAGGTAAAAAATAGAACGTCGCTAGATGGCAAGGGTTCTATCACCGACCTGATTGGTTTTCATCGACGGATCCGTGACTGTTTCGAAGTATCCCGCGATACTGAGCGGACGATTGAAGCTGCCTCTTCGGCGGAAATCAACCATTATCTCGTCGGGTGACCGCGCACCTGCATAGCAGTGTCACTTTGACGAGAATAAATTTCGTAAGTTTACATTTTAGGTTTTGTCAACAGCATGCCACACAAGGTATGTCTTGGCAAAAGTGCTTTTACTTGACACCAATACAATTTCCTTTCGATAATTCTTTTCCATGCGGATCTGGTTTGTAAAAGGTATCCGGATAATTTTTGTTTGGCTTTTGTGATTGGGAGTATATTGTTCCAAACGATTAGATGCATTGGGCCCGAAGGAGTGGAGGCTTTCATTTCATAATTCTGGAAAACCTACTAATCGTGCTTGATTGTTCCCCATAGTAAGCTAACAGTGACTTAATTTGAATTTCGTCTCAATGCTTTTTTGCGCGCAACGAAGTATCGCGTAACCTCTTGGTGTAAGTTTATGCCAAGTTAACGTTCCACGTTGCCGTTAAGGAACACTAAAACCCCTGGTTCTTTCCAGGTTTGGATTCGCGGTCGGCTATTGTTTTCAGACCGCCTTTACCTCGAGACAAACAGGAAGCTATTGAACGTCTGGCTTGTCCCGTTAAAGGTGCCGCAACGCATGAAAAGGTTATACTACGCTTTCGTACCCCAGAAGACCTGTTCTGGGATACAAAAGCAGCCCACCTCAATTGTCCTGATCCTCGTTTGCACATCCTCAACCTGCACCGGTATGGTAAGCAATTTTGACGAACATTTGTAGACCATGTTAAGCCATCATCCATTCATTTTGTCGCTCATGAAATCTATCGATCGTAAGATGCCTCAGAGTAACTTGTAGCTTATTATTGCGCATCTTTCCTGCAATCGATCGAGTTATAGTTACTCACTTGTGAACGCTGATTATTCATGTTGTGAGTTTTGCATATATTTCTCTTACCCGTTAGTGTTTCTGTCGTAAGCGTAAACAGTGGATATCTTGGGCCTCCACTGTCTTGTTTTTGGTCTGTTAGATGATCAGTCCAATTTCAGATGTACAAATCACAGTACCGGTTGTGAGGTAGTATCCGTAACCTATCGGATGCTTCCTTAACCGAGGTATGCTAAAGGGTTTTCCTATCAAATTGATCATGACAACACATCCCACGACGACTGACCACAGCCTATGTCGCACACTGATTGATATTTATCACACTGTTGTTTTGACCGTAGTGAATACGAATTAATGGTAAAAAATCGGATCACTCTAGTTTCCCGCAATCCCATAGAGGTATAGTGTTTAATAACTTGTTTCCATCTTGGTTGTCTCACTCACTGGGCTGTTTTATTCTTCTTCGTCTATTATTATTTTTTCAATTTCAGGCAAACCTGGTGTTCTGTGTGCTCACTTATGGGGTGGTAGTGGATTGTCCCCAAGTGGCATGTCTGATCAAGAAGTGGTCGATGTCATACTCGATCTGTTAGATCAAATGTACCCAGAAGCCAAAGGTTCTAAAGTCAAAACTGGTAAACGAGGTATTCCTGACCCAGTCCAGTTCGTGGTCACACGCTGGTCCGAAGACCCGTACGCACTGGGTGCTTACACCACTGGTGAACCAAGTAGTTCCGACGCCGATCGCCTAATTTATGCGGCTACATTGACAGATCGGGATGCAGTCCAACTGACCAAAGAGGCCGAAATGCGCCACACGGCTGAGGGCAAGCCTTCGGAAGCGATGTATAAACTACCCGATAATCCCGTTCCACGACTATTGTTTGCTGGTGAAGGGACGCTGACCGCTTCTGAAGCTAAAGTAAGTTTGCATAATAGGGATAAAATCATTTCAGAATGCATTCTAACAATAAATCGTCCCACGGTGGGTTTGTTATGGAGCTTTCTAGTTTGGTTCGGTCAGATTCTTGGAGAAGCTAAGTATCTCTCGCCAGTCTCCTAGAGCAGGGGGGGGCGGGAGGTTGCTGGTAAAACACACTGGTTAATCATGGCACGATGTTTTTTGGTCAACTTTTTCGCCATGGTGTTACCACTACTGCTCTGCTACGAGCATGATTCTCCCTACGCCTGATAAATAACCGCAGAAAAGCCACCGAATACGGATGCTCACAATACAGTATCAGCGACGGTTGCAAACCGGCCTTCGAAGCGGAACTATCAGATCGCCTCTCAGCTCAATCATCAGCCGGAGGACTCAGTAAACACTAGACGACAATCAAGGAGGAGATGCAAACGTCGATCAAAACAACGGAACGTTCTGAAGCAAGATCAAATAAGAAAACGATGGATCCTCCCGTCCTCGGTTGCTCGCAAAGCCATTCCTTCGGGCTCCAAATACGACAAAGCCTGCCAATCCCTTAAGCGCCAGCTCATCAAGAGTCCGAAGAATGACCGCGAGAAGTGGTGGGTAGGAAAGTGTAGCGAGATGGAGAAGGCTGCGTATATGGGTAATAGTCGCAATCTTTTCCGATTAATTAGGAGTACAGAACCAAGGAAAGCAGGTGTAAGGGAGGTAATTAAGGAGTCCGACGGCACACTGATTCATATTCAAGAATGCCGTTTAGATCGATGAGCAGAACGTTTTAGGGCTTAGTTCAGCTGGCCCTCTTCAGCACAAGACCTCCCTGCACTCGGTTCAGCTGTGCAAATACTGTCAGTTGACATCAGTTCTTCATCTGAAATGGAGGTTGCCCGAGAAATAAGCTCTCTCAAACAGCGTAAGGCCTCCGGCCCCGACGGGCTGTTCTCATCGGTTTTTAAAGATGGATGTCTAGCCTAGGTTTTGGAGTTAACAAAACTGGGCTCAGTGTGGGAAAACGGATAGGTTCCAACTGAATGGTGTGAATTGGCGATCATACAAATTTACAAGAAGGGCGACAGGTCCTCTTGTGAAAAGCACGGGAATTAGTTTAATCAACATTGCCTTTAAACTTCTCGCTGGCATCATACTCCGTCGATTGTCTGCCGCCCGTGAACAGTTTACGCGTGAGAACCAGGCTGGTTTCAGACCTGGTCGAGGTTGTATCGAGCACATCTTCACTCTTTGCCAAATTCTAGAACAGACACTTTTCGTAGACCCACCGTTTCCATCTTCCTCGACCTGAAAGCGGCTTTCGACTCAGTCGACCGCTTTAAACTCTGGCGCTTCTTCTCCCTGAAGGGTGTGCCCGAGAAGTTTATTTCAATGTTACAATCGTTTTATGCTAAAAGCCTAAGCCGAGTCCGAGCTAACGGCACTTTTTCATCCGAGTTCACTACAGAAGGTGGTGTTCGACAGGGTTATCCTCTCTCTCCGTTTCTATTTAATTTTATCATAGATTTAATTCTTGAAACAGCCCTATCTTCGTGCGATTCTATCGGCATCGATTTACTCCCGGGTGGCAGACTTTCTGATCTGGAGTATGCAGACAACATTGTGCTACTAAGTGAAGATCCAAGTCAGCTGCAAGCTTTTCTGGTTAGTTTGAGTGCTAGTGTAGCCATGTTCGATATGCGTTTTGCATCTTCAAAGTGTAAAATGCTTCTCCAAGACTGGGTTGGCTCAGCCTCCAACCTCACCCTGACCGAGGAAGCTGTAGAGAAAGTGGACAAGTTTTGCTATCTGGGCAGCTATATCTCACCTGGCGGACGCATCACAGATAAAATGTCGGCGCGTATACAAAGGCTTGGTTGTCATTTGCCAACTTGAAACATCTGTGGCGCCGTTGCGACATCCGGCTGTGTTTGAAGGGTCGAGTATATGCTGCAACAGTTCGGCCAGTTCTGCTTTACGGTGCAGAGACTTGGCCATTACGAGAACAGGATAAAAATAGGTTGTCAGTGTTCGAATACCGCTGTTTACGTAGCATTGCACGAGTGTGGTGGGGAAACTGGACGAGCAATGCTGAGGTTAAGCGTAGAGTTTTAGGTTAATGCGGTCGTCCACTGGAGCAAGTGGTCGATCTCCACAGATTCCGTTAGTTGGGACATGTTTTTCGCATGTCACCAGATAGGTTGCCACGGCGAGCGATGTTTGCTGAGGCAGGTAGCGGTTAGAAGAAGGTCAAGGGTGGTCAAACTAAGACCTGGCATGAGGGTATGAAAACCCTAACCGGGAGACTGGGTCACATAGGTCCCGTTAAACTCCCTGGCTGGGTACCCCGAGATCGTGGTCACCGATGGTTAAAGACACTGAGCGATATGGCTGGGTGTCGCAAACAGTGGCGCTCATGCATCTACTCATTACTCTTTTAACTTCTGTCTATGAAAATGCGCTATCTTCTGCTTGAATCTGCCGTCAATATTCTAATCTTCCTTTTTATTTTTATCCAAAATGGGGCGCCAAAAGATAGCAACCAAAACCGGCGCACGAAAGTGCATGGCTAATGGTTGTAAGCACTGAATTGAACGGAACTGAACCACTACTGCGGTTTTGAAACTGGACTCACAGTTGATGAAGATAACATCTGCCGGCGTGCGTAGTGATCGAATTTCTTTCCGCATTGATCCACCGCTGTTAGAAATGATTGCCAATAAGACTGATTACAGATCCACAGTCGGACACGTAATGATCCAAATGAACTCCGTAAATTTATTGTCCACACCCTTTCACTCAACACAAAAGTATTGTAGTTCGGAGTTTGTATACGGAAATCCAATTACTAAAGTGTTACCCAGTTTTGTCGATCAGCACAGCTCTGGCTCTGCATTCGTTAGAAAGTAGAATTTCATCATCAGCGTTTATGCATTAGGTCAATTCGTCGTCAACTACCAGGAGTAAGTAACGGAGTATCCATAACCCCACAACGTAAACTCATGAAAAGCCTTAAGAAAGATCGCGAAAACTGGTGGGCCAAAATAGCTAGTGAAGTGGAAGTAGCCTCTGCACCATGGACTAGTCAAAGACTCTCACCTGATACGCAGCACCGGAGATCATCGCATTCCGGTCAGTGAAACCATTCGCGATAAAAGTGGTCAAAATATCCACAATAAAGAACAACGACTTGATCGTTGGCCAGAGTATTTTTGTGAGCAGTTCAATTGGCCTGGTTCTAATGCGGTTATTCCTGCCATAGCAGCGTAAACTCCATTGGCCGTTGCATGTGAGCCTCCAGCAGAATCAGAAGTGTGAAGCTGTCTTCAATCGTTAAAGAAAGGGAGAGCAATGGGACATGATGGGCTTCTCCCAATTCTTTTCAATGTGGGTGGTCATTCTTCCATCGACTCCATTACTAGGTTACTTCGCAGCACCTGTTCGGAGAAGCGTATCTTTTTATCCTAGGGGTGAATCACTGATTGGTCCGATCTTCATAAGGGATCACGCAACGACTGCGCAAAACACCGCGGGATTAGTTTAGCTCCGATAATCATGAAAGTATTAATTTCCGTGATACTTCGCCGCCTGACACCCCTATGGAAGATGATTATTCGCGAACAGCAAGCAGGAATCGGACCATAAGGCGGTTGCATCAGCCAAATCTCGGTCGCGTATACTGCACCACTGTACGATCAGTCCTGCTTTACGGTTGTGAAACCTTGAATTTGTGGTTAAAAGACGCCCGTCGTTTAGCAGTGTTCGACAATCGATGCTTACGTAGTCTGACCCAAGTGGGATGGAGTGAGCGGGTTAGTAACTTAGAATTAAGTCGTCGGATGTTTGGGAATGCATCGAACAAGAACTCACTATCTCATCGAATCCAGCTCACTGGGCTCCGTTGGTTAGGGCACGTTTTGCGTATGTCCGACTGTCGTTTACTGCAGCGCGCCTTGTTTTCAGTGGCTGTTACAGGCTGGAGAAAACCACATGGAGGCCAGCAGATGACGTGGAGACAAGGCATGAAGAAATGCACAGAGCGGTTAGGTAGAGTAGGTGTCTCTCGTCTTCCGGATTGGGGTCCAAAACACTCCGAAAGCGCATGGTTGGAGACACTGAAAGTCATGAATGCGAACCGACAGCAGTTGCGATCATGCTGTCACTTCTTATCAGACGAGAATGCTTGAAATTGTATGTATGCACAGTTGGGCTGTGTACTCTGTGTGTTGAGCATAGAGGTTCGGTTTCTTCTCCCGTCCCTAAAAATAGACCCAATCCGTGTCCTTACACATTCTCACCTTGTAGGCAATATGAGTTTGGCAGCGATCAATGAAGTTCGCTTCACTGTATTACCCTGTACAATGATGATGTTCCTTGACCCTTCGATTCAGTTGACTGTGAACCCTTAATGGGTTCACTGTTCGGCAAAAGAATTCCTCACAAATATGTAAACCTGTT